CAGTGATGGCGAACCTTTTGAGCTCGGCGTGTCAGCATTTTGAAAAACCCTAACTTAACTCTGGTGCTGTGTCACATATAGAAATTTTTTGATATTTGCAACCATAGTAAAACAAAGACTTATATTTTTGATATTTATTTTATGTATTTAAATGCCATTTAACAAAGAAAAATCAACCAAAAAAATGAGTTCGCTTGTCACCTCTGACACGCGTGTCATAGATTCGCCATCACTGCCCTAGGGCATTGTCAAAATAATAGCAAATGCCTGTCAATAACTTTGCTAACTGCCTGAGGCTGTGATTTCAGGTGGTGTCAACAAGAGCTTGTCTAAGGCCCTGGCTGGGTGGCTCAGTTTGTTGGTGTGTGGTCCCAATGCACCAAAGTAGCAGGTTCAATCTCCGGTCAGGGCACATACAACCAATAAATGCATAAATAAATGGAAGAACAAATTGATCTCTCTCTTTCTTTCTCCAACCCCCTCATTAAAAAAAATATATATTTTTATTTTTGTTGTTAATCCTCACCTCAAGGATATTTTTTCATTGATTTTTAAAGAGAGTGGAAGGAAGAAGGAGAGGCGAAAAATGTAAGCAGGAAAGAACTGATGTGTCCAGGAAGGAATCTCTCTAGAGTTGAGCTGATGCAGGCGCACGTAAGTTTGAGCAGCATGTTGTGGGTAAGAGTGCAGCTTCTGTGAGACTGACTTCCTGAATGTAAGTGTGTAGACTTGCTCTCCTTCTAAAAACAGCAAATGCTTAAGCAAAACAAGTAAGACCAACCATTTCAAATCTCTGACAATTACTCCAATCAACGTTGGGGAACCTGCAACCAAGGTAGGAGCCCTTGACCAGAATTGAACCTGGGGCACTTCAGTCCTTGGGCTGACGCTCTATCCACTGAGCCAAACCGGCCAGGGCTCAACGCCTTCATTTGTATGTCTTCTTGGGAGAAATGTCTATTCAGGTCCTCTGCCCATTTTTTATTTGGATTGTTGTTGTTGAATTGTATGAGTTCGTTATATATTTTAGATATTGACCCCTTATCAGAAGTGTTGTTTGCAAGTACCTTCTCCCATTCAGTGGGTAGCCTCTGGATATCTATCCGAAATTTTTGAAACATTCATACACAAATATATACGCATGGCTATGTTCATTGCAGCATTATTCATGATGGACAAGACATGGAAACCACCAAAGTGTCCTATGTTAGATGGTTTGATAAAGAAGATGTTCTTATTATATACAATGGAATACTACTCCACTATAAGGAAACATGAAGTTCTGTCTTTGCGCAACATAGATGGATCTTGAGAATATCATGCTAAGCGATACAATTCAGGCAGAAATAAATCAAGAATCCTATGACTTAACTCATATATAAGATACAAAACTGAAAGCAAGAAATGAACAAACAAGGCAAGCAAACAAACAAAAAAATCACAGACACAGTCAACAGTATGCTGGTTACCAGAGGGAAAGAGGGGTGTGAGGAGGTAGTAAAGGGTTAAGGGGGAAAATGTAGGTTGATGGAAGGAGATTTGACTTTGGATGGTAAACATATAATGCAATATACAGATTATGTATTATAGAACTGTACACTTAAAACATATATAATGTTATTAACCAATGTCATCCCAATAAATACAATTAAAAATATTTTAATTTGTACATGTATGTTTATAGCAACATTTTTCGTCATAGTAAAAAAATGGAAACAATCAAAGTGTTTATCATCTGTTGGATGGATAAAAAATGGGATATATCTAAATAATGGAATATTATTTACAAAACAACAATACCAGCAACAACAATAATTCTAGGTGAGGCCTGGAAGCTGCAGAAATGGCCACAACACAGATGGGACTCCATAGCCCACAGGTCATGGTACTTGCTACAACATGATGAACCTTGAACACATTAAACCTAGTATAAACAGCTGACAATAAAAGAGTGGAAGCTCTGGAGAATGACTCCCTTGATTTGAAGCCCAGCTCTGCTACTTACTAGCTGTGCCCCTTTGGGCATTTATTTAAACTCTTTGTGCCTCAATTGACTTATCTGTAAAATGGGTCAAATTACAGTGTCTAGTTCACAGTATTGGTGTGAAGATGAATTGCGTTAACTAAGATAAAAATGGTTAAAAAAATGCCTGGCACAGCCTGGCTGGTATGGCTCAGTGGATTGAACATCATCCTATGCACTGAGAGGTTGCTGGTTTGCTTCCTAGTCAAGACACATGCTCAGGTTGAGGGCTCCATCCCCAGTATGGGGCACACAGGAGGCAGCCCATCCATGTTTCTATCTCTCTCTTTTCTCTTCCTCTGTCTCTAAAAATCAATAGAAACATATTTTTTAAAAAAGAGATACAAAAGTGCCTGGCTCAGTCCAGCCAGCATGGCTCAGTGGTTGAGCATCGACCTATAAACCAGAAGGTCACAGTTTGATTCCCAGTCAGGAGGTCACAGTTTGATTCTCAGTTTGTGGGCTCAATTCCCAGTGTGGGGAGTGCCTCAGGAGGCAGCCAATCAATGATTAATGTTTCTTTCTCATCATTGATGTTTCTCTCTCTTCCTCTCCCTTTCTCTCTGAAATAAATACTTTAAAAAGTGTCTGTCAAAGAGTAAGCACCATGTAGATCTCAACTATGTTACAATCTATAGTTCAGATTATTTAAATCAGTTCTATTTTTCCAAACATAAATTATGGAAAACCTGTACAATTTGTATAAAGAGGTAGGTTAAATTGTTTATAATGATTTCCTAAGCACTTTTTTTCATGACACCTTTGTTATTTCAAGGAGGGTTTTAGAGACATTCTTCTTAACTAGAGGCACAGTGGATGACATTTGTGCACTGAGGGTGGTCAGTCAGCCCGGCCTGTGCCCTCTCAAAGTCCAGGACCCCTCGGGGGATGTCTGAATGCCAGTTTAGGACCGCTCCCCTAAGCTGTCAGTCGGACATCCCCTGAGGGGTCCTTAGCTCTGCCATGGAGGTGGGAGGGGTCAGGGGGAGGGCATTGACCACCAGAGGGCAGCTCCTGCATTGAGCATCTGCACCCTGGTGGTCAGTGCGCATCATAGCAACTGGTCATCCTGCCATTTGGTTGATTTGCATATTAGCCTTTTATTATATAGGATAGCCATCAGAAAGATGCCATAACCATCATCACTTATTGTCTCTATTCATATGATCTGTCATAATGAGAATGCTATGTTGGTTCCACAAAGCCATGCTCATGGGGAAGAAGAAAAAGAAATGGGAATTTGCCCTTACCGAGCAGGTGTTCCATAAAGGTGAGGCCTGGATGCTGCAGAAATGGCCACAATCACAACTGGGACTCCGTAGCCCACAGGAAGCATGAACTTATTCATGAATCTGCTCACACTGGAGTAGTTGACCACAGTCAGGTTGCGTGTGGTGAGAAAGAGGTGCAGGCCCTCCAGCAGCATCCAGGTGAAGGAGGCCAGGTAGAGATAGTGTAAGGCACCCGCGATGATGGCGCACAGCACCTGGGG